CCTTCGAGAATGGCATGTACACCCCGCGGCTGGGGTCCCACCCCGTGGGCGGCAACCTGAGCTTCGAGTGTGAGGACGGCTTCGTGCTGCGGGGCTCACCCGTGCGGCAGTGTCGCCCCAACGGCATGTGGGATGGGGAGACGGCCGTGTGTGACAATGGCGGTGAGTGGCCTGGCTGATGGCTGCGTGGGGCTGGGGACCTCCAGGAGCCCCGGAGCCAGACTGTGGCCAGGGAGCCGCTGTGGGGCGGGGGCCTGGCGTGCCGAGGGTCAAAGTAATATTGCTGGATTTTGGTCAGTTGAGAACGGCAGGCCCCACATCACCGGCCTGGAGCGGGCCAAGGCAGCTGGCTCCAAGCTTCAGCTCCGACATAAAGGCCCCGCACACTGTCCGGCTTTTCCAGAAGCCTCAAAGCCTGCTTGGCAGTCAGACCCCATGGGACTGAGGACAGAGGACAGGCTGAGAGCGTCGTGCGGACGTGCCTTGCCTCTGGAACCCGGTTGGGTTCCAAGCTTGACTTTGACCTTGACAGACTTGGGGCAGGTTATGTATCCTCTCTATGCCTCAGTTTTCCCATCTGTAAAATGGGTTTTGTAAGGGTGCTGGCTGTCCTCGTTTCACAGGTGAAAACTGAGAGGATAAATGGGGTTGTCGTGTGGATGGAGTGAGTTGACGTTAGTATGCGTCTAGAACAGCCTTGGGGTCCGGTACGTGGCTCGTACACTGCGTCACGTCACGGTTATTACCGTCCCAGAGCATGCAGAGGGCTCTGCTCGACAGAGTGGGGCTCCTGGGCGTCCCGGAGCCACACTTGCCTGTGGGTTTGGGAGCTTCCTGGACCAGAGTTCTGGGCACAGAGTCCAGGAGACAGTCCATGAGACGGCAGGACCGTGCCCTCCCCAGCGGCCCCGCTGTCAGCTCCGGCGCATGCAGCTTGACTCTGCCAAGTAGCCATTCATTCAAACATAAGTATAATCTATTTGAAAATGAAGGCAAAATCTACCTACAGTAAAGTGTACAGATCTTAAGTTTTTAGCTTGATGAATTTTTACGCACGTGTCCACCCACGTAACCGCCACCAGAGAGAGGACACGCCCGCATCCCAGGAGGCCCGCCTTCCCGCGCCGGACCATCTTCGCTGGGCTCCCAGGGTTAGGCTAGCTCCAGCTCAGCCGGGAGGAGGCGTCACAGGCTGCTCTGCGCACCTGGCGGCCCTTTCCCAGCATCGCCTGGGCGTGCGCAGTCTGTGCACCGCAGTCTGCTCTTCGCTGCCGTGGAGGCCCTTGCACGGGCCTGTGAGAGGTCACGCCTGATCCTGTAGCTGGGCCTCGGGTCACGTCCAGTTGGCGGCCACGAGTGCAGCTCCGCGAACGTTCTTGTGCCTGACGTTCGTGCCCTTGTTTCTCTGGAGCGTGTGGTCTGGGGTGGAATGAGCGGTCCCCGCGCGGGGCAGGCTAGGGAGGCTGGCAGGAGTTCCACCACACCCAGCACTGCCGCCACTTGGAGTTGCCCACCTCTTTAGTGCTGACTCACGTGGCTTAGGAAGAGCAGTGTCCCCCCTGGAGATGGGCTTCTCTGCTGGCACCTGCCCCGGCTTCTGGGGTGGATGCAGCCCGAGTCCCGGGTGGGACTGGGAGGCCACTGAGCTGGGACGTCTGACCCTCCTGAAGGCTCCCCATCCACACCCACCGGGAGACCACGGCCGCCCCAAGAGGCTCTGGGGCCTGGAGCCGGGCGCGGGAGGGAGAGGGCAGTGAGCAGGGCCAGGGGCCACGCAGGAGGGTCTCTGCTGACTCCATCTCCCTCTGCTCCCTCGCAGCCGGCCACTGCCCCAGCCCAGGCATCCCCGTGGGCTCGGTGCGGACGGGGTCCCGATTTGGCCTTGGGGACAAGGTCAACTACCGCTGCTCCTCGAATCTGGTGCTGACGGGGTCGGCAGAGCGGGAGTGCCAGGACAGCGGGGTCTGGAGCGGGACCGAGCCCATCTGCCGCCGTGAGTAGCTGCCCTGCCCCTCCCGAGACTCTTGGCACCGGCCCACGCTGACCCCAGTGGCTCTTCCCACAGAGCCCTACTCGTACGACTTTCCTGAGGACGTGGCCCCTGCGCTGGGCACCTCCTTGTCCCACCTGCTTGGATCCACCAATCCCACCCAGAAGAAGAAGGGTGAGTGCTGGTGGCGGACAGCAGGCGGCTGGGCAGGCTGCTCGGGGCTCGGCCTCCTCTGGGCGCAGCAGGGCTGAGCTGACTGCAGGGGAGGCCTTGGCAAGAGAGCAGTGTGGGGGAAGACACGAGTTCCCCCTCCATATTTCTCCCAGAAAGCGTGGGCCGAAAAATCCAAATCCAGCGATCTGGTCACCTGAACCTCTACCTGCTCCTGGACGCCTCTCAGAGCGTGAAGGAGGAAGACTTCAGGATCTTCAAGGAGAGCGCCATCCTCATGGTGGACAGGGTCAGGGACCAGGCGCCGTGCGGAGCTTCCCTTGCTCAGACCCCCTCACAGCCCACCTCCTTCAAGGAGGCTTCCCCATTCCACAAGGAATCATGGGTTCAATTTATAGGGTCATGTTTTTTGTTCCACAAACACCTACTATGTGTCCGGCACCGTGGTGGGTGCTGGGTGCTGTGCTGGGGGACACCAACGATGAACAACCCGGGGTCCCCATTTCCAGGAATTCGTCTTCTAGAACAGGGATCTCCCCAGAGGGGTGCACAGATGACCCACTAGGTGCGGCAGAAAAATCCTGGTATCCCTGCTGAACAATTTAATTTAAATCAATAGCTTGATATTTAATAATTTGAAAACATTTCAATATTTTGCGTGTTTACAGTGATACACGTTATGAATAGGAGTGCAGTTTACAAGCACATATACCTTTATGGGGGCTGTGCCCCAAGTCCCTGCTAACGAGATGCACACACAGGAGTGTTTGGAAGCCGTGGTTTAGTCATTGCCCACATTTGCTTGGTGTCTGTGCTTCTCACAGTAGTTGATGTAGATGTGGCCTCTCCTCCGGCTACATTTTAGAGAAAGAGGTTCTGTGTTCCTCAGCGTCTCTCTTAGGACCTAAACTTAGGTCACTTACTGAGCCACGAGGCTGCAAATACGGCCATTGGGTGCCTCACGGTTGCACCAGCAGGTTCAAATCCTCCCTCCACCTCTTACCAGTGGTGTGAGCTGGGGGAAGACCAAAGCCTCAGTTTCCTCCTGTGTAAAGGAGGGGCCTCCTGCTCCTCACAGAGTTTCTGTGAAAATTAAATGAGGCCAGTCGCTCAGTTGGTTGGCGCATCATCCCAATACCCAAGGTTGCAGGCTGGTCTCCAGGCGCAGACGGGAGGAGCCGATGGGTGTAGCAATGGGTGGGACACATGTCAATCTCCCGCCTCCCCTCTGTCTCTAAAATCAATAAAAAAAAGATTAAAGAGGAGCGAGCCCATCAACGCGAACAGATGGTCAGCAAACACCGGTTTCCGGAGCTCTTGCAAGCAGCAGTGTCTTCCCCCGCATGATTTTGGTTGATGTCGGAGCGGAAGGGAGAGGGAGAGAGACATCAATGGTGAGAGAGAATCATTGATCGGCTGCCTCCTGTCTCTCCCTCCCCTGCACAGATCTTCAGCTTTGAGATCAATGTGAGTGTCGCCATCATCACCTTTGCGTCAAAGCCCAAAATCATCATGTCTGTCCTGGATGACAATTCCCGGGATGGGACTGAAGTGATCTACCGTCTGGAAAACATCAACTATAAAGGTGTGGTGTCGTCCGATGAAGGTGGGAGTGGGGGGGTGGGTCCGCAGCAGACCCATCTGGACAAGTTAGAGAGAGGGGGTCTCTTGGCAGCAACCAAGGCTCAGGGCTCCGGGGCTCTGGCTCCTCAGGCTCAGGTGGGGGGTCCCCGCCCCGCCAGCCCCTGCCTTCCTCCAATGTGCTGCACAGCCAGGGCGTGGCGCAGGCCTGGTCCTCCCGATGCCAGAGCCACACGCCTGGCTTTCGTGGCTCAGTGCTCGTCTCCCAGGTCATGGTAAACTCCCGCAGGACAGGCTGCAGATGCTAACAACACCCAAGTTTGCATCTGGAAACCCCATCTTTGCATCCGGGGACGTTAGTGTGGCCTTGGGTTGAGGTCATGCAATGAGCCCTTCTAAGGGGAATGGCTCTTAACGCCTGAGCAGGCAATGTGCCAGATCCCCACCTGGGACCCAAGGTCTGGGCTTCTCAAACCAGCGGATAATTTATCTCCAGCTGTTGGGGAAATAGGGTGATTTTCTACTCCCCTTCTCTTTGCATGTTGCAGACCATGAAAATGGAACCGGGACCAACATCTATAAGGCACTGCACAGTGTCTACATCATGATGAATAACCAAATGCAACGCCTGGGCATGAGCACCGCGGCCTGGAAGGAAACCCGGCACGCCATCATCCTTCTCACAGACGGTGGGTGCCATAGTCTCTGTGCGGGTCGTCGTCTCTGTGGGGGTCGTCGTCTCTGTGGGGGTCGTCGTCTCTGTGGAGGACGTCGTCTCTGTGGGGGTCGTCGTCTGTGTGGGGGTCGTCGTCTGTTTGGGGGTCGTCGTCTCTGTGGGGGTCGTCGTCTCTGTGCGGGTCGTCGTCTCTGTGGGGGTCGTCGTCTCTGTGCGGGTCGTCGTCTCTGTGGGGGTCATCGTCTCTGGCACAGTAGCAGGAGCATCATGGAGGGGTCAGAAGACCTGCATTCTGCTTCTCCCTGGGCCACTTGGCCTGTTTCTTACTTATCAAGTAGAAATAGTGACAACAGTGATGGCGAGGACAACAGTGATGGAAACATTAGCTGCCTTCCGTTCCTTACACAATTTTTGTGGAGAGAAATTAAGTCATTTGCGTAAAGGTGCTTTGTGATTATAATGCTGGTTATTGTCACTACCTGGAGGTCACCGCTCCGGACCATGAGGTCCCGGCGCCTCGGACGGCGACTCTGCCGTGGACCTGGGCTCTGTCCTCGAGCTTGATTTTGCCCACATTATGCCACCCATCAGGACTGTGCTCTTGTCTATGCAACGAGGGTACCCACACCTCCTGGGGCTTCCTGAGAATTAAATGAAATAAAGTAAACGAAGCTGGTGGCCTAGTGCCTGCGACACAGACTTTCAGTAAAACTCGGTAGAAGTGCAGGTGCTGCGGGTCCCAGGTGAATGCCTCCCCACTCCTCCTGGACGCGGGGGTCCTGATAGAGCCACCGGACGAACAATTCTTTCTCTCCCTGTTCCAGGAAAGTCCAATATCGGGGGCTCTCCCAAGCCAGCTGTTGACAATATCAAAGAGGTCTTGAACATCAACCAGAGGAGGAGCGACTACCTGGGTGAGCCCCCACCCCTGCCCCCAGCTGTACCGCCCCCCAGGGGTGTGAGGCCCACAGCCTGGGTCCCAGCATCTTTCTGTGGAGGCGCCCCGCCCCCGCCCCCGCTCTGTCATTCCGTGTGAAGGTGGCTGAGTGTCCGCCTGGTGTCATCTGGGTTAGCTGTGGCTGTGGGCAGTTTCTTCACTTGCCAGAGGGGACCTCTAGGCCGACAGGGGCGAATGCTCGGACACAGAGAACAGTGTGTTGGGGTCGCCATCTTCCTCCTCCTCCTGCTTCCCCACGCTCTACAGTTGCAGGAGCCTCTCCAGGAGGAAGAGGCGGGCCTGCTGGGGACCGTCCCTGGCGTCCCTGGGAGCAGTGCAGATAAGCCAGGGAAGCGTTGGCAGCTGCAGGCGCTAACGGACAACTCCTCAGGTTCAGGCGGAATACAAATTGCACTGGCCTTTGACCAGAAAAGAATTCCGAGAGAAGCGCGCCAGATAAGGGAAGGCGCTGAGCGCCCAACGCTCCCCTCCCTGTCCGCCTGCCTCGCCCCGACCTGGCCCTCCGTGGAGAGCAGATTCCTCTTTAAAACCCTGGCCCAGGGAAGGCAGAGCCCAAACCCCATGCCCTCAGGCCTTAGCGCCACTGGGCCAGGTGAAATGCTCCAAACCACCTCACTGAACAGGCAGGAGCTGAAGGGAAACAGAGAACTCTGGGGCCTGAGCGGGGCTGAGAGCAGGTGCTGCCTGGGGGGACCCTCCGGGTCTGAGCATCCCCCCCACACGCTGCCCAGCCCTCTGGGAGCGAAGGGGGCCAGGAGGGCAGAGCGCGGAGCGTGGGGGGAGGGGGCAGCGGTTCCGGCGCCGGCTGGTTCTCGGGAAGGGAGGGCTCCAGGCCCGGCCCACAGCCTGGGGTGGAGGAGGCCAGGCCCGTGCTTCGCCTCCAGGCGACGTCCACGCCCGGGTTTACCTAGTCGTGTACCAGGACTGCGAGAGCCCAGAGCCGCCAGGACTAGGTGCTGTTCTAAGGGCGAAGCAGACACAAGCCGCGCGGGCAGCACTCTAGGAGACAATGTGTTAGTTGCCAGGACTGGTGCAGCACAGTATACAAACCTGAGGGGCTTAAAAAACAGAAATTCAGTCTCCCGCGTTGAAGAGCCTAGAAGTCCAAATGCAAGGTGTGCGCGGCCAGGAGGGTCCTTCCTCGCCTCCACCGGCTGCTGGGGGCCTAGGGCCCTGGCTGAGGCGGGTACCCGGTCTCTGCTCTGTCTTCACATCCCTTCGCTCTCCTACAAGGACCCAGCGTCAGGTCAGGGCTGCTCTAGTCCAGCTCGACCTCATCTTCACTAGATCACATCCGACCTCATCTTCACTAGATCACATCCGTAAGACCCTACTTCCTGACGAGGTCACACTCAAGTCCTGGGAGTTAGGACTTGAACATACCCTTTTGGGGGACACAGTGTTACCCACAGTGGGCATTAAACAAGGGAGATAAGAAATCCCCAGGGCACGGTAGCTGGTGACAGGGGCTAAGGTGCAGGGGAGGCAGGGCACGGAGTGCGGGGCCCTGCGCCTTCAGACGCAAGGCGGGAAGGACGGCTGGGTAGTGATGCTTGAGTCAAGACTTAAAAAGGTAAGGAAGTGAGCCAAGTGGGAAAACGGGGGGGGGGGGGGGGGGGGGGGGGGTGGGCCAGGCAGAGGCGCCTATGCAGAGGCCTGCGGTGGGAGAGCCTGCGGCGTGAGGGCTTCACGGAGGCCGTGGAGCTGGATGGGCTGGAGGGCGAGCCGCGGGAGGAAATGCAGTCAGACAGGGCGGGGTGGAGGGGCCATGCAGGGCTTTGCAGGACACAGTGAGCCCTAAACACAGCCTCCTCCCTCGCGGTGGCCCAGCCACAGATTCTGGTGACTTCCTCCCCCATCAGACATCTATGCCATCGGGGTGGGCAAGCTGGATGTGGACTGGCGAGAACTGAATGAGCTGGCCTCCAAGAAGGATGGCGAGAGGCACGCCTTCATCCTGCAGGACGCAAAGGCTCTGCACCAGGTCTTCGAGCACATGCTGGGTGAGTGACTTCCTTCAC